CCCATGTTGGATCACTCTCCCCTTTATTTATTCTATCGGTTAGTATTAGCAGATACTAGACTTGTTTATGTGCTCCCTTTGACTCTTAGTCCTTTCATTATGATCAATTGTGAACTGAAATTGATCACTTGGACTAGTGAGATGGCATTGGTATATGCCACCTTGATGGGATTGAATTGGAGTCCCCTGGTATGTTTCTAACTCTACCATTTGGGGCAAGTCAGCTTGAGCATGTCCCAAATTGTACATCTCTTCCCTCTCTTATTCCTACTCTTATGTTTAACAGGGATCACATTTCAGTTAAATTTCAACACTTAAGAATAACTGTGTATTAATTACAGAATTAAACCAGTCATATTAAGTAGAACAGACAAAAAAACTACTAAGAGGGATAATGTATTAAGTTGTTCATTAACAGTCAGGGCTATGCTGATCAAGTCACCATTTCTCATAGTGTCCATTTCACTTCAACAGGTTTCCTTTTTGGTGTTCAGTCAGTTGTCACCGATCAGAGAGAACCTATGGTATTTGTCCTTTTGGGACTGGCTTATTTCACTCAGCCTGATGTCTTCCAGATTCCTCCATTTTGTTGCAAATGACTGGATTTCGTTGTTTCTTACTGTGGTATACTATTCTAAAGAGTACGTATCCCATTATTTCTTTATCCAGTCTACCGTTGATGGGCATTTAGGTTGGTTCCAGGTCTTAGCTATTGTGAATTGTGCTGCAATAAACATTAGGGTGCAGACCACTTTTTTGTTTGCCAATTTAAATTCCTTTGGGTAAATTCCAAGGAGTGGGATGGCTGGGTCGAACGGTAGGGTTATCTTCAGGTTTCTGAGGAATCTCTAGACTGACTTCCATAGTGGCTTGACCAGTTTGCATTCCCACCAACAGTGGGTTAGTGTCCCTTTTTCCCCACATCCTTGCCAGCATCTGTTGTTGGTAGATTTCTGCATGTGAGCCATTCTAACTGGGGTGAGGTGAAACCTCATTGTGGTTTTGATTTGCATTTCCCTGATTGCTAATGACCTGGAACATTTTTTCATGTGCCTGTTGGCCATTGGGAACTTCCAAATGAAATTTTGAAGTTGTATGCATTGTAGTTTGCATGTAATTCAACTTTATGCCATACTTACTGATATATATCAGCATTTGATGTAGGACAAATCAGAAAATACAATGGCTTAACAAATAGCCATTTGATTTGCAGTTCTGACTCTGTGTTTTGGGCTGTACTCAGCTGAGCAGTTCCTATGATCAGTCCAGGAGCAGAAATGAGAGTTTAGGCATTTGGGGAACTGATTGAGGCTTCACTTAAGTGTCTGGGGTTTGTGGTGAATCTTGGCTATATATTATCTCTTTTTTCTTTTTTTGACAGGCAGAGTTAGTGAGAGAGAGAGAGACAGAGAGAAATGCCTTCCTTCCATTGGTTCACCCCCCAAATGGCTGCTATGGCCAGCATGCTGTGCTGATCCAAAGCTAGGAGACAGGCACTTCCTCCTGGTCTCCCTTGTAGGTGCATGGCCCAATAACTTGGGCCATCCTCCACTGCCTTCCCAGGCCACAGCCGAGAACTGGACTGGAATAGGAACAACTGGGTCAGAACCAGCACCCCAACTGAGACTGTCACCTGGAATACCAGTGCCACTGGCAGAGGATTAACCTAGTGAGCCACGGCACCAGTCTACATACTATCTCTTCAACAGGCAGGCCCCAGGGTTTTTCAGAAGATAACTGTCAGAAAAAGAAAATCTGAGAAGGCAAATACTTTACAAATTGTCTATTTCTGGGGCTGGTTCTGTGACATAGGAAGTAAAGACACCGCCTGCAGTGCCAGCATCTCATATGGGTGTCAGTTCATGACTCAGCTGCTCCACTTCTGATCCAGCTCTTTGCTACAGCCTGGAAAAACAGTAGAAGATGGCCCAAGTCCTTTGGCCCTTGCTCCCTTGTGGGAGACCTGAAAGAAGCTCCTGGTTCATATCTTTGGATCTACACAGCTCCAGCCATTGCAGCTATCTGGGAGTGAACCTGCAGTTCGAAGACCTCTCTTTATTCCTCCTTCTCTCTCTCTCTCTTTCTCTGCCTCTCCTTCTCTCTTTGTGCAACTCTTTCATATAAATAAATATTTTACAAATTGTCTATTTCTATCACATTTACTGGTATCTCATGGGGTAAATCAATTGAAATGGTGAAATTCATGGTCTTTTTCAAAAAGATTTATTTATTTATTTGAAAGAGTTACACACAGAGAGAGGGAGAGGCAGAGAGAGAGATAGAGTGCTCTTCCATCTGCTGGTTCACTCCCCAGTTGGCTGCAATGGCCAGAGTTGTGCCAATCCAAAGCCAGGATCCAGGAGCTTCTTCTGGGTCTTCCACATGGGTACCAGGGCCCAAGGACTTGGGCCATCTTCTACTGCTTTCCCAGGCCATAGCAGAAAGCTGGATCAGAAGTGGGGCAGCTGCGAATCAAACCAGTGCCTATATGGGATGCCAGTCTGCAGGTGGCAGTTTTACCCGCTAGGCCACAGTGCCACCCCCAATCCAGGGTTTTGTGAAGGGATGAATACAGGGAAAGGTGCTACTTGGAATCATTACTGGTAAAGTGCACTGCATTAAATATACATTATGTGTATTTGTTAACTTTCTTTAGTATAAACTTTAATAACAACATAATGTTTATCTCTGATAACCTTATTCATTTGAACACTCAACTTTTCTTTTTACTTTTACATTATCATTTTACAAAATTTTTAGATAATGCTTTCATTAAACCAATGATAACTTCTGTTTAATCTCTGCCACTTAATATAGGTGGGTGCATTTTCCTATGTATTTCTATTTTTAGAGGTTTATTCCTCCACAGTGAAGCTGATGTTTTCTTGGTTAATGTATTTATTCTTTATTCATTCTACTATATCCCTTTTTTCCCCACTGTTCAGTGCAGAAGGAAACCAGAGGTTTTTTTTTTTTTTTAAGATTTCATTTATTTATTGAAAGAGTTGCAGAGAGACAAAGTCTTCTATCTGCTGGCTCACCCTCCAAATTACTGCAAAGGCCGGAGCTCAGCCGATCCAAAGCCAAGACCCAAGAGCTTCTGGGTCTCCCATGCAGGTGCAGTGGCCCAAGGACTTGGACCATGTTCCACTGCTTTCTCAGGACATAGCAGAAAGCTAGATTGTATGTTGAGGAGGCAGTACTCAAACCAGAACCCATATGGAATGCTGGCACTGTAGGCAGCAGCTTTACCCATTATGCCACAGCGTTGGCCTCTAGAGTTTTCTTTGAACTCCTGCCATTCACCTTCTCTCCCAGGTATGACTCTGGGTCCTCCACATGTTTCTAAGAGGAAAGAAAATTAATATATCACCTGTAAGTGTTTTTTTTTTAATTATTCCCCAGCTTGTCAGTACTCATTTTAGGTGTTTAATGTTAGTTTGTTTATTTATTTTTTTAGATTTTTTTTATTTATTTGAAAGAGTTACAGAGAGGCAGAGGGGGAGAGAGAGAGAGTCTTCCATCTGTTGGTGCACTCCCTAGTTTGCCACAATGGCCCGAGTTGCACTGGTCCAAAGCTAGAAGTGAAGAGCTTCTTCTGGGTCTCCCACATGGGTTCAGGGGCCCAAGGACTTAGGTCATCTTCTACTGAATTCCCAGGCCATAGCAGAGAGCTGGATTGGAAGTGAAGCCACTGGGACTTGAACTGGCACCAATATGGGATGCCAGCACTGAAGACAGTGGCTTTACCTGCTAGCCACAGTGCCAGTCCCAGTATACTAGTTAATTAAAATGGAAAATATGGGGTTGGCTCTGTGGCTCAGTGGGTTAATGCCCTGGTCTAAAGCATCGACTTCCCATATAGGCACTGGTTTGAGACCCGGCTGCAATCAGATTAGCAGGGAACTAGATTGGAAGTGGAGCAGCAAGGAGTCAAGTCCTCTGTTTACATGGGATGCCAGTGTTGATGGTGGAGGCTTAGCCTGCTGGATCACAATTCTGGTGACTATTGCAAGTTCTGAAACAAATCTCTAAGCATTTTTCTCAGTGAGTCACAAATGCAGATTGTACTGCAGACATTCCCAGGTTCTCTTTTTGGGCAAATAATTCCATTGCTTTCATTTAATTATGTATAATGTCATTTCAAATGTTTATCATTTGAATGTTTTGGGCAAGTATTTCCATTGCTTTCACTTTAATTAGGTATAATGTTATTTCAATTGTTTATCAGTAGAATAATCATAGACAAGGGCAAAAGCTAATTTGTATTCTTTGTCTTACCTGTATTTTCCCTCTTAAAAATATTTATTAGCTTGATAGAGAAAAAAGTTGATGGACTGAGAGATAGAGAGCTTTGACACATTAATTCACTTCCTAGATAACCATACCAAACAGGTGGGGCAGGACTGAAGCCAGGATTGAGGAATGGAATCTAGGCCTCCTTCATTGGTGACATCACCATTGCTTCCCCAGGTTTGCATTATCTGGGAGCTAGAAACTACAGCTGGCATTGGAAGTCATGGACACTCTGAGGTGGCATCATAAACAACACTAAGCTAAATGTCTGCCCTGTCTTTTAATATATTTTTTCTCACATATTGGAAATGATATGCATGGTGTTTTCCTGGAAATTGTTTTCTGTTCATTCCCATCTTAGTTTCACTGATGGTTTCTTGCCTTTTTTCTCAATGCTTCTACATACTTCTCCTTAACATTGCCCAGTCAAGAGTCAGTATTGCCCCTCTTCTAGCCTGCTGTGCAATTCCCCTTGACAGATGTGGCATTTGTGATTTGAACCTCCTGTTTCCCTCTAGGTTGGGCATTTCTCACAGCCTGTAGATCATGGGTTTGACTCTGTTGAATGCTCCGTGTGGCTTTCTAAACACTCAAAAGTCTAATGTGAAACCATATCCTTCCTTTTTTCCTTCATATCCATACACAACTGTCAGTGTTTATTTTGTGACAGAGTTAACATGTTGACTGGAAGCGTATTATTATAGGTAATGACAGCATTTGAAGACCTGGCTGTGTACTTTACATGGGAGGAATGGCAGAAAATGAACAATGCTCAGAAAATCCTGTACAGAGATGTGATGCTGGAGACCTACAGCAGCCTGTTCTCCTTGGGTGAGTGACACCCATCACATGCCCAGTGATAACATTTTCTTGCTATTTGACAAATAAGGGAACACTTTATAATGTTTAATATTGGGCAGGATTAGAATTTGAGTCTGTGAATAATCTGAATATCTACCATCTAACAAAAGATTCAAATTGGAACATTTGTTGCATAGCTCCTGAACCAAGCTGTAGTCCTTTAAATAACCCAAGATAGTGAGTTTACAAAGTCTTACTTTGTTTCCATTAATAGGGCACTGCATTACCAAACCTGACTTGATCTTCAAGTTGGAGCGAGGAGAAGAGCCATGGATCGTGGATGAATGCTTGAATCAGAGCCTTTCAGGTCAGTCTGCAGCTAGGACTTAAACTGGTGCCCATAAGTGATGGCAGCACCTCAGGTGGTGGCTTTACCTGCTATGCCACAATGCCAGCCCCTGGAAACTTATTTCTAACTCATTGCTCAGATTGAGTTCCCACTCATGATTTTGTCCAGGCATAGAACTTGCTCAGGACTGAATCAATAAATGTGAACTCTCTCTTTCTTAGTCTCTTTCTTTTTTTCCCTCTGTGCTTCTAAAATAAATAAGAAAATTATAGTCTGTTGGAAACATTTGAGGAGTGAGCCTATAGTTGGCAAAGCTCTGTTTCAGTCTGTCTTTATCTTTATTCTGTCTCTCTTACTCTCAAGTAAGTAAATAAGTAAATGCTAAAAGATGGTCATGTGGCCGGTGCTGTGGCACAGTGAATTAACACCCTAGCCTGAAGCACCAGCATCCCATATGGGCACCAGTTTGAGACCCAGTTGCTCCACTTCTCATCTAGCTCTTGGCTATGGCCTGGGAAAGCAGTAGAAGATGGTGCAAGTCCTTGGGCTCCTGCACCTGAGGGAGACCCAGAAGCAGCTCCTGGATCCTGGCTTCAGATCAGCACAATTCTGGCCATTGTGGCCAATTGGGGAGTGAACCATTGGTTGGAAGACCTTACTCTCTTTGCCTCTCCTCTCTCTTGTAACTCTGACTTTCAAATAAATAAATCTTAAAAAAATAAATAAAAGATGGTCATGAGTAAGCCTCTGTGCTGTGAAATTATGAAGCTAGCAATGACACTGTGGTGCAGTGTGTTAAAGCTCCAGCCTGCAACACTAGCATTTCATATTGGTGCCAGTTCAAGTCCCAGCTGGTCCTCTTCTAATCCAGCTCTCTGCTAATGCACCTGAGAAAAGTGCAGAGGTTGGCCCAAATCCTTGGCCCCCTGTACCCATGTGGGAGACAAGACACTCCTGGCTCCTAACTTCATTTTGGCCCAGCATTGGTTGTTGTTCCCATATGGGGAGTGAACCAGCAGATGAAAGACTTCTCTCTCTCTCTCTTTAATTCTAGCTTTCAAATAAATAAAGTAAATCTTTGAAAAAAGAAATCCTAAACTAAGCATGAACTTATATAAAACATGAAAATAAGTGATCCTAGACTCACCAAGAAAGTAATGAGATTTTGAGACCCAAGGTCAAGTAGCCTTGTGGGGTTGTGTTGAGTGGCTCAGATTTCTTGAAGGGTGGAGTTTGAAGTATGATTTCTCTCTTATTTTCAGTATCATTGAAAAATATGCAAATAAAAAGATAAGAAAAACATAGGAAATGAAGCTTTCAGTGAAAATAGGAGGCAACTGATCAAATGCCTCCAGAAATTCAAATTATCACACAGGAATGTTTCTAGAAAGACTTTAGAGGAGGTAACCAGCACTGATGATTTCAGAATGAGTTAGAAACCACTTTTGAAAGAAGATGAGCACATCCTGGTTTGCAGAAACAAATTCTTCAAACTGATTGGGAGTGTTTAACTAAAGTCGTATATTGGGAATTTTCTGTACCTGTTGTACTTCTGAGAAGCTGAAGGTGTTGGGTGTCCTTAGGAATTTGGGGAAGCTGTCATAGAGTAGAGACAAAGTAGTTTTTCATTTGAAAAATCCCACAAATGACGTTTACCTAGGAAGACTGAGCATGAGACACTCATAGATTTAAGTCCTACTCCTTAAATGTTGTCCTGCTTAAAGTACAGGCACATTTCACTCTTCTCCACCTGCAAGTAAATGATCAGTAAAACTTTTTCATGTTTATGGTTGAGATATCAGAGAAGCAAAAAGCACACAATTTTTATAAAAATAAACTGGAGAAAAAGCACAGGGAAAAAAATGGTTGCTAGGTAGTGGGTGAATGTTTTTATTACATATTTGCCCATTCTTTAAAATATTTTATAGTTATTTCATCTTTGTGAAAGGCAGAGTGATAGTGAGAGAAGAGAGAGAGAGAAAGAGGTCCTCTATTAGCTCACTTCCCAGATGCCTGCAACACTTAGGTCTAACTAGTCTGAAGCCAAAACTCTAGAATCCCTCTAGTCTTCCCTAGTTTCTCACAGGTTCCCAGGCACATGAACCATTATCTGGTTCCTTCCAGTTTACATAGGCAGAGAGCTGTACTGAAAGCAGAGTAGCCAGGGCTCAAACTGACACTGTTTTGAGATGCAGGTATCCCACACATCATAGCACAAAAGTCATTCTACCATCCTTGACAAATTCTCATAGTAAAAAGGATCATGTTTGAACATTGGGAAAACTCATGGTATATTAATGTATTAAGGAGAAAAACCATATAATGGTCACAAATAAGTACCTCATACTGATTTTGTGAACATCTTATGCCATTTGGATAACAAGTAACTTCATTCCCTTGACATGAGTATGCCAGGAGAAACAGTTACATGTGATTCAGTGACATGATTGCTTTTTTCTCATTTCAGTGGTCATGAAAAGGGATGACCTGATTAGGATCAACCAGGAAAGTCAGGACAAAAGTCTGAATCAGGATTTTATGAAAAATAACAAGACATCAGCTCTCAAGAGAATTGAATTAAGAAAAACACTTAGTTTAAATTCAAGCCATGTTCCAACACTGATTATTAAAAAGGGAATCTATTCAGGATTGAAGCTTGAGGAATGCAATAAATGTCACACTGTGTATCCCCCCAGTGGGCCTGATCAACTACAGGCTGGAGAGAAATTTGATAACACTAAGATACCTGGAAAATCTCTCCAGTTCTGTGAGCCTCTTAGTCAGCTTGACAATATTCACATCATGAAGCAGCCATTTGGACCCACTGGACAAGAAAAAGTCTTCACAAGAAAGATGTTCTGTAAATCTGAGAGGGTTCATATGGCAGAAAACCATAATAAGTCAACTGTCACTTTTGGAAAAGCAACGCAAATAGAAAAAGCTATCCATGAAAATTCTAGCCTCAATATGCATCAACAAACTCACACAAGAAAGAAATTTTATAAGTACATTATGTATGTTGAACCTGTCATTCACCAGTCACATCTTGCAATAAACCAGAAACTAAATACAAGGGAAAAACTTTACACATGTAAACCTTGTGGAAAATCACTCAGTTTTAATTCACCTTCTGAATGTAATGACTGTGGAAAAGCCTTTAGACAAAATTCAGTCCTCAGGAAACATCAGCAAATTCACACAGGGGAGAAACCTCATGAATGTAGTGACTGTAGAAAAGCCTTTACACAGAAGTCATACCTCATAAACCATCAGCGAATTCACACAGGAGAGAAACTTTATAAATGCCTTCAATGTGGAAAAGGCTTTCTGTGGAAGTCAGACCTCATAGTACACCAGAGAATTCACACAGGGGAGAAACCTCATAAATGTAATGAATGTGGAAAAGCCTTTGGACACAAGTCATCCCTCCTCATACACCAGCGAATTCACACAGGGGAGAAACCTCATAAATGTAATGACTGTGGAAAAGCCTTTGGACGCAAGTCATCCCTCCTCATACACCAGCGAATTCACACAGGGGAGAAACCTCATAAATGTAATGACTGTGGAAAAGCCTTGGAGAAACACACGAATTCACACAGGGGAGAAACCTCATAAATGTAATGACTGTGGAAAAGCCTTTGGACAAAAGTTCCACCTCATAATCACCAACGAATTCACACAGGGAGAAACCTCATAAATGTAATGACTGTGGAAAAGCCTTTGGGACACAACCCTCCTCATACACCAGCAATTCACACAGGGGAGAAACCTCATAAATGTAATGACTGTGGAAAAGCCTTTGGACAAAGTCCACCTCATCCTCATACACAGCAAATTCACACAGGGGAGAAACCTCATAAATGTAATGACTGTGGAAAAGCCTTTGGACAAGTCAGCCTCCTCATACACCGAATTCACACAGGGAGAAACCTCATAAATGTAATGACTGTGGAAAAGCCTTTGGACGAAAGCCCCTCATCATACACCAGCAATTCACACAGGGCAGAAACCTCATAAATGTAATGACTGTGGAAAAGCCTTCGGACACAAGTCAGGCCTCAGGAAACATCAGCGAATTCACACAGGGGAGAAACCTCATAAATGTAATGACTGTGGAAAAGCCTTTGGACAAAACTCAGACCTCATCAGACACCAGCAGATTCACACAGGGGAGAAACCTCATAAATGTAATGACTGTGGAAAAGCCTTTGGACAAATGTCATCCCTGCTCATACATCAGCGAATTCACACAGGGCAGAAACCTCATAAATGTAATGACTGTGGAAAAGCCTTTGGACGCAAGTCATCCCTCCTCATACACCAGCGAATTCACACAGGGGAGAAACCTCATAAATGTAATGACTGTGGAAAAGCCTTTGGACGAAAGCCAGACCTCATCATACACCAGCAAATTCACACAGGGGAGAAACCTCATAAATGTAATGAATGTGGAAAAGCCTTTGGACACAAGTCATCCCTCCTCATACATCAGCGAATTCACACAGGGGAGAAACCTCATAAATGTAATGACTGTGGAAAAGCCTTTGGACAAAAGTCAAACCTCATCATACACCAGCAAATTCACACAGGGGAGAAACCTCATAAATGTAATGACTGTGGAAAAGCCTTTGGACAAAAGTCACACCTCATTGTGCACCAGCGAATGCACACAGGGGAGAAACCTCATAAATGTAATGACTGTGGAAAAGCCTTCAGGTACAAGTCAGGCCTCAGGAAACATCAGCGAATTCACACAGGGGAGAAACCTCATAAATGTAATGACTGTGGAAAACCTTTGGACAAAAGTCACACCTCATCGTGCACCAGAGAATTCACACAGGGGAGAAACCTCATAAATGTAATGACTGTGGAAAAGCCTTTTTCTATAAGTTATACTCATATGAAAACAGTTCACATAGGGCAGAAACCTTATGAATCTAGTAAGTGTGGAAAAGCCTTTATAAATCATGTTATAAATCATAGCTCATATTACACCACAGAATTCACACCAGGGAGAGACTTCATGAATGCAATGATTGTAGAAAAGCCCTTGGCAATAAGTCACATCTCAGAATGCATCAGAAAATGCACATAAAGAGAAACCTTTTGGACATAATGACTTGGAAAGCTTTTTCCCATAATTCAGCCTTCATTGCACATCATCTAATTCATATGGGGGAAAACACTTTGGATATAATGCCTTTATCCATAAGTAACACCTCATAAAACATCAGAATTCACATGGGGGAGAAACCTTATGAATGGAATGAATGTTGGAAAACTCTGCCAAAATTACACAATATAACACCAGAGAATTTATTATATGATGGAAATCTTGTAATAAATGTGGGAAAGCCTTTTGTCAGAAGGAATACCTCATAACATGTAGATCAAACAAGGGAGAGAACTTAAGGATATAATGAATGTGAAGGACTTTTTCCAAAGTCAACATAACCATGTGACAGAGCCTTTTGCTGGAAATTACATCCCATACAATAGGCACTCCCATAAGGAAGAAAGGTTGGGACCAGCGCTGTGGCACAGTAGGTTAAAGCCCTGGCCTGAAATGCAGGCATACCATGTGGGCACTGGTTCTAGTCCCAGTTGCTCCTCTTCTGATCCAGCTCTCTGCTATGGCCTGGGAAAGCAGTAGAAGATGGCCCTGCACCCACGTGGGAGACCCAGAAGAAGCTCCTGACTCCTGGCTTTGGATCACTGCAGCTCCAGCCATTGCATCCATCTGGGGAGTGAACTAGCAGATGGAAGACCTCTTTCTGCTTCCCTGTCTCTCTCTAACTCTGACTTTCAAATAAATAACACAAATTGTTAAAGAAAATGAAGAAGTTCAGAAATATTATTAGTGTGACAAAAAGCCATTTGTCAGAAATGGCATTATACATCAGAAAATTCACACAAGTGGTTTCTTAGGAGTGTAATGAATGTGGAAGTATATTTTCATAGAATTCAGGTTTGCATAAATATGCAACTCAAGAAAGGCGATACCCTTCAAGTGCAATAGAACTCAAAAAACCATAGCCAGAAATTAAACATCAGGCCGGCACTGTGGAGCAATAGGTTAATCCTCCACCTGCTATGCTGGCATCCCATATGGGTGCGAGTTCTAGTCCCAGCTGCCCCTCTTCAATCCAGCTCTCTACTGTGGCCTGGGAAAGCAGTAGAAGACAGCCCAAGTGCTTGGGCCTCTGCACTCACATGGAAGACTAGGAAGAAGCACCTGGCTCCTGGCTTCAGATCAGTGCAGCTCTGGCCACTGTGGCCATTTGAGGAGTGAACCAACAGAAGGAAGACCTTTATCTCTCTCTCTCTCACTGTCTGTAGCTGTACCTGTCAAATAAATAAAAATCTTAAAAAAGAAATTAAACATCAACTAACACAGGGAATTCATACAGTAAAATGTCAATTTAATGAATGTGAAAAAATTTTTCTGCCATTAATCAATTCACATGAAGACTCCGAAATGAGAAAACATACATGCATAGAAAAGTTATGTACCATATGTCACCTGTCAATGGTTACCTGACAACTCACAGAAAGAAAAAATCCTATGATTTATTGTAATAGGAAATACCTTTATTATTAGGCAAACTTCCACAAAACATAGCAAGATTACAGAGAGAAGTCCCTGAAGTATAATTTGTTTGGAAGAATTCTTTGGTGGAATCACACCTTAGTGAGTATTGGGCAGTTTTCATAATGAATTGTGACAGAGAGTGGTTAACCGCTCTTCAGAAATTTTTCTCTTATTCAACCGGAACTTTTGGTTTCTCATTATTCTGAGTGGAATCAAGTATATGAACTGAACTGTGCTCTCTTGTGTAAATTTTGTTAATAAATATTTAAAAGTTGAGTAACAGTTATTTCAACAGTTATTTGGAATACCATCTTCATCAATTACAAAGTTACTTGTTTTATAGCTGCTTTTTTGGCCACCCAGGATTCTTTCCCCTCATTATTGTAGTGCAAACCAGTGATGTGACCATAGGCATATCAAGTGACACATGTTCCAGCCATAATAGTGTACCCTGGCCCTGGATAATAAGTGTTGTGTGCAACACAAGGGAATGAGTGTGTGGTGACCTGTATACCCATGAGAAATTTCAACTTATCTGTGTGCACATCTGGATTAGACTCCACTACCCAAGGTCTATTTGAATATGCAAGTAGATGTTGCCACACACATTACTCTCATTCTTTAAAGGGACAACCTCAAACCCTATAAGTTGCAACACTCATCTGAATTTTCCTGTATTACTGAGTGCATAATGCCTTTTTCATTCATGATGCCACTTTTCTACTCTTTTTCATTCTATTCCTAATTGCCTTGAGACAAGAACATGGAATGAAGTCTATCCATGTGGTACCCATTGCAATAGAGAAGCAGGAGCATAAATGTAGTATTTTTTTAAAAAAAGATTTATTTATTTGAAAGTCAGAGTTACACAGAAAGAGCAGAAGCAGAGAGAGAGAATTTTCCATCCAATGGTTCACTCCCCAATTGGCCACAATGGCCAGAACTGTGCTGATCCAAAACCAGGAGCTTCCTCCAGATCTCCCATGTAGGTGCAGGGACCCAAACACTTGGGCCTTCTACTATTTCTCAGGCCATAGCAGAGAGTTAGATTGGAAGTGGAGCAGCCGGGTCTTGAACCAGCACCCATATGGGATGCCAGCATTTCAGGTCAGGGCATTAACCTGCTGTGACACAGTGCTGGCCCCTGTAGTACATTTTTGTATTAATTTAACTTATAATTTTTTACAACCTTTTTTTGTTGCATTATTCCCTGCTCCTGCAGGTGGCCCTCATTTTATTGAAAATGTGTATTTTATTCCTTCCAATTTAGAAAGTCCTTTCTGGATTAATATAAATCTGATTTACATTCAGTTAGTTCCTCAGGATACCCTCAGGAGGAACACTTTTCCTAGGTTGCTTGGCTATCCCATGATAACAGGGCTACAAATGCTATGATGCATCTAGCTGCAGTAGCTCTTTTATTTCCCATTTAGATAATAGCTGTGCAACTAATCCATTTCAACTCCATTACTACCCATAAGAAATAGCTCTTCATCCCTGTTTAAGTCCCCACAGCTTCTTGCAAGTGTTCATCAAATTAAATCTTATTATAAACAGATTTAATAGAAAATGAATGATGTAGCTGCTGGTAGTTTCAGTGAGGTTGAATGATTTGCTGGACTGCTGTTTTGTCTGGGTTATCTTTCATATTACTTAGAACTAATTTTTCACAATATTACTTGCCTGAGCACTTTTTCCTAGGCTCCCAGCTAAACAGGTGTTTGAAGACTAGATTTACTGTTAATTCTCACTAAGGACAGAGGTCCCACATTGAGAGCACAGATCCTTATGTGGTCCTTGGGACATAGTGAATATTATACCCACTTGATTTAGTACTCAGGCACTGGTCTCCATTGAAGAGAAGAACTCAGCTGAACAGAATATAACTCCCTTCTGATTAAAAAAAGATTTACCATGTCAAACCTGGATGTGTCACCTTAGGCATACCCTTTACCCTTGAAAACTGAACAGAGCTCTC